CCACAAATATCCCCAAAATCGGACCTAAGGGGAGAAAGGAGAAGAGGGAAGTAGTTGGAGTTAAAGCTTAGAAAGAAAGAAAGAAGGAAAACAAGAATGAGGGAGGAAATAAACAGGTCGTCGGCTTAATAGCCTAAGGCCCAACCGCAAGTGGAAGACCCTAATGCGGCCTGACCCGCATTAATCGCATTCTCCATTGTTTGTGACTCAAAAAGCGATCGGCTCTCTGGGCAATCCAGAGGGTTTGGTGACTAACATACGACCCTTCCTGCATCGTAGTGGCCCTAGTGAACCAACTCAAGGCCTTAGGCGGCTTTGGCTGCATGGCAGCCCCCCGACCCAACTTCTTTTCCACCATCCTACCTGACTCTAAGTTTTGAGATTCCACTACCAAAATTCAGGTGTTACAGCAGACCTAACAGAGCTTCAGACTTGAGGTTTTTTGTGCATCTTTACTTAGAATTGCATGATATTTTTAGTGGGAAACATGAGAAGACCTTCTGAGCGTTTAGATGGTTTTTTTTTTTTTTTTACATCTGGTCGTTGTCCTTCACCTGCACAAACATTCACATTAGTAACAAAGAAAATTCACGAGAAAAACATTGAACTTGCACATAAATTGATTAACCTTCACATACCTTAACATTGAAACCATATTGAACCTTCACATGAAATTTTTTTTGAACCTTCAAATGATAAAAATTGAACCTACACATACCTTTACAGCTCCACTAAACGTTTACATACCTTAAGTTCTTAATATAACAAAAAATAAATAAATACAAGAGAACCTTTACAACTTCACATGAAAAAGACCCAATCTTTACACATTCACACAAAAAACACTAAACTTTGTACATATTTTCACTAACTTTCACATATCTCCATATACTATAACTCGAAATACACTTTGAACCTTCACATAAAAACACTGAACTTGTACATACCTTGACATAACTTTTAGTAAGCAAAAGATAAATGTGTCCCTCATTTAAAAAATGTGCATGCTAGCTTTGATGGATCAAAACAGGCCGACCACTTCGAAGGCATTTTAAAAAAAACCAAGACTTTTACTGTAACACAACTCGTTCTCTCTCTCTCTCTCTCTTTCTCTCTCTCTCTCTCTCTCTCTCTATATATATATATATATATATTGTAAAACCCAAAAAATTTTGAGGAATGAATAATTTATCTTTATTATTATTTTTATTATATATATATATATATATATATATATGTTAAATAAAAATAGAAATTAAAATAAGTTTAAAAATCGGATCAAAAGTGAAAGAAAAGGTCAAGACATGGGTGAAAGTTGTAATTCGCGATAGTTAAGAGGTTGGGTCAGATGTAAGCAGGTCCAAATCAGAAGAACCTGTTTTGTAAATATGCATCAGACCTG